TGCGCTGGGTACGTAATTCCTCCTTTAGCTCTGAGAAATTTGATGGACTGAAGCCTTCTTCTCTCATCTCGTCAAAGTCATTCTCCGTCCAGCTTTGATCCGTTGCTGGCGATGAGCTGCGCTCCTTTGCCGGGGAAGATGCGCTCTTATTTTTTGAATTTCCAGCTTTTCTGCCCTGCTTTTTCCCCATCTTTGTGGTTTTATCTGCCTCTGGTCTTTGATGATGGTGATGTACTGATGGGGTTTTGGTGTAGGTGTCCTTCCTGTTTGATAGTTTTCCTTCTAACAGTCAGGACCCTCAGCTGTAGGTCTGTTGGAGATTGCTTGAGGTCCACTCCAGACCCTGTTTGCCTGGGTATCAGCAGCAGAGGCTGCAGAAGATAGAATATTTCTGAACAGCGAGTGTACCTGTCTGATTCTTGCTTTGGAAGCTTCCTCTCAGGGGTGTACTCCTCCCTGTGAGGTGTGGGGTGTCAGACTGCCCCTAGTGGGGGATGTCTCCCAGTTAGGCTACTCAGGGGTCAGGGACCCACTTGAGCAGGGAGTCTGTCCCTTCTCAGATCTCAACCTCCGTGTTGGGAGATCCACTGCTCTCTTCAAAGCTGTCAGACAGAGTCGTTTGCGTCTGTGCAGAGGTGTCTGTGTGTCTTAGTTTACTGTGCCCTGTCCCCAGAGGTGGAGTCTACAGATACAGGCAGGTTTCCTTGAGCTGCTGTGAGCTCCACCCAGTTCGAGCTTCCCAGCAGCTTTGTTTACCTACTTAAGCCTCAGCAATGGCGGGCGCCCCTCCCCCAGCCTCGCTGCTGCCTTGCCGGTAGATCACAGACTGCTGCGCTAGCAATGAGGGAGGCTCCGTGGGTGTGGGACCCTCCCGGCCAGGTGTGGGATATGATCTCCTGGTGTGCCTGTTTCCTAAAGCGCAGTATTGGGGTGGGAGTTACCCGATTTTCCAGGTGTTGTGTGTCTCAGTTCCCCTGCCTGGGAAAAGGGACTCCCTTCCCCCTTGCGCTTCCCAGGTGAGGCAATGCCTCGCCCTGCTTCAGCTCTCGCTGGTCGGGCTGCAGCAGCTGACCAGCACCGATCGTCCGGCACTCCCCAGTGAGATGAACCCAGTACCTCAGTTGAAAATGCAGAAATCACCGGTCTTCTGTGTCGCTCGCGCTGGGAGTTGGAGACTGGAGCTGTTCCTATTCGGCCATCTTGCTCCGCCCCTGTTTATTCTTTCTGATTACATAATCTTGAGTAGTGTTAACTGATACAGATATCCTCTGTCAAATGTAAAGTAAGTTCCACTATAAAATTTATATTCTCACAGATCAGTTCATATTTGGAATACAGTAGACCTCAGGACTCCTTAGGGAGGCATAAAGACATACTCACAGATGAGAGGGTAGAAGTGAGGAAGTTTAAAACTTGTCACGATATCAAGTCACTACATCAGAGATAGGAGCAGTTAAAGAAGAAGCTGGTCAGGACTTGTTGAAAGTGGTGTAACACCTGGATGAAAAAGGCAGTATGCACTGAATGATACAACACCCCTAGACAAACAATAATGAGCAAGAATCCAAAAGGGGTGCATTTCATCAGTATGTTGACAGGGAATTTTTGTGGGAAATCCCTGAAATCCAAAGAGAAAGCCACTCAGCAACTGCAGCTTTTGTCAATGTGTTATGGGACCCCAGGTCATCCAGCCAGAGTTTGTGGTGGTAGGATTCTTTTCCCAAAGAAGCATAACTTACAAAAGAGAGCACAGTGGAGAAGGAGGAGGAGGAGGAGGAGGAGGAGGAGGAGGAGGAGGAAGAGGAAGAAGAAGAAGAAGAAGAAGAAGAAGAACAAGAAGATGAAGAAGAAGAAGAAGAAGAAGAAGAAGAAGAAGAAGAAGAAGAAGAAGAAGAAGAAGGAAGAAGAAGGAGGAAGAAGAAGAAGAAGAAGAAGAAGAAGAAGAAGAAGAAGAAGAAGAAGAAGAAGAAGAAGAAGAAGAAGAAGAAGGAGGAGGAGGAGGAGGAGGAGGAGGAGGAGGAGGAGGAGGAGGGAGAGTGGAAGGGGAAGAAGGAGGAAGAGGAGGAAAGAAGAGGAGGAGGAAGAGGAAAGAAGAGGAGGAGGAGAAGGAGGGAGAGGAGGAGGAGGAGGAGGAAGAAGAAGAAGAAGAAGAAGAGGAAGAGGAAGAAGAAGAAGAAGAAGAAGAAGAAGAAGAAGAAGAAGAAGAAGAAGAAGGCGGAGGAGGAGGAGGGGAGGGGGAGGGGGAAGGGGAAGAGGAAGGGGAAGGGGAAGGGGGAGGAGGAGGAGAAAATAGGAGGAGGAGAAGGAGGGAGGAGAAAGAAGAAGGAGGAGGAGGAGAAGAAGGAGAGGAGGAGGGGGAAGAAGGAGGAGGAGGAGACAGAGGGAAGAGGAGGAAGAGGAGGAGGAGAAAGAAGAAGAAGGACGAGGAGGAGGAGGAGAATGAGGGACAAGAAGGGAGAGCAGGAGAAGAACAAGAGGAGGAGGCAGAAAAAGAATCAGCAGAAGAAGCAGGAGATAAAAGAAGGGGAGATGGAGGAGAAGAAGAAAAGGAAGAAGGAGAAGGAGGAGGAGAAGGACGAGAAGGAGAAGGAAAGAAGAAGAAGGAGAAGAAGACTCATAATGAACATTTGAATAAATATAGTCCTACGAACACAAGGAACTTCAGCCATAGGATTTCTTTACAAGAGGAGGAGCACTTCAGGAGAACATGCTACAACATTTAGAAACATTTAGAAACCCAGGACTGGCACGGAGACCTTGAATCCAGGGAGGTGTGCAGCAGATGTTACTCAGGACCCAAACCAGAGGCTCAGTGATTATCTCTAGTATATTTTGTCCTAGGTCAACACCCTGGGACGGGTCTGGGATGCTCAGCCCCATCCAGCAGAGGTACTGAGGCTGCATAAATTCTTCCTGCTTTAAGCCTGTTTTAAGCTGGGCTCTAGAGTAAGAATGATCCCGGAAAGGAGAGAATCAAAGGATGCAACTAGGGGGAGCTAGGAAAAGCACATCAGAAAGGAAGTTAAACAGGGACTGACCCATACCAGGTTTCAGTTTTTGGAAATGATGCTTTAAGCAGAATTTTTACAAGCTGGCGTCTATCCAAATAGGAACTAGTGAATGCTCTGGGGGAGAAAAAAAAGGCATCTGATAAACAGTTCGAGAAACCAAGGATGTTTCCACTTGAAAAGCAAGGATTTTCGGAGTTGAATAGCCATTCTCAAAGAAAAATCTATCATATATAAAAGCATCAATAATGTTTTTTTCCTCTGAAACTCTGGAAAAACTCATACTAAATTATGTAAATCCTAGGGAGGCAGATTTTGTTTCAAATTAAGAAATAACATACTAATCATCAGACTTGTATATAAGCGGGATGGGCAAAAATTAGTAAACTTTCACCTCTTTAATATTTCATTTGAGGGTAGATGACCATAAATATAAAATATGTTTATCAATGAGAAGTCAGATTAAGTGACCTATAAAATTCAGGCCTCTCCTAAGATTCTGTGAATTTCCATGACATGCATATATTCAGGAGGAAAAAGCAGTAAGAGCACTCCGAGGATGGAAACTGATGCAAAGGCAGGAAGGCAGAATTGTCCAAGGGACCCTGAGTACACAAACCTGGCTAGACTAGAGTTTACTCTTTAGAGAGCAGTAGTTAGTAAAGTTAAAATATTAGGTAGGAGCCCGAGAGTAGAAGACCTTCAATGTCCACCCATATTTTGACTTTAAAGGAAAAAGGAGGGGATAGTATACTGATTTAAAAAATAATAGACTTGTCAGACAGATCTGGGTTCAAATTCCAACCCATCACTTCGTAGCTGTTAGACCTCCCTAAATCCCAATCTCCTTAACTGTAAAATACGGTTAATGAAGATAATGATATTACCCATCCATAGGGTTGTTGTGGGTATTAAATGAGCTACTGGATATAAAACCTGGTACATAGTAGCAATTAATGTTAGCTATTACCATTTTTATGAGACAGAGAAGTGGTGGAGGCTGAGAAAGAGAAAAAGAGAGGTTGGACATGGTTGCTCATGCTTGTAATCCCAGCACTTTGGGAGCCCAAGACAGGAGGATAACTTGAGGTCAGGAATCTGAGACCAGTCTAGGCAACATAGTAAGACCCCTCTCTCTACAAAAATGATAATAATTTTTAAAAAGGTAGCTAGGCATGCTGATGCGTGCTTGTGGTCCTAGCTACTCAGGAACCTGAGGTGGGAAGATCTCTTGAGTTCTGGTGGTTGAAATTGCAGTGAGCTATGATTGTACTACTGCACTCCAGGCTGAGTGACACAGCAAGATCCTGTCCTCAAAATAATTCATTATTTTTTAAAAAGAAGAGAGAGAGGCTATGTGCGGTGGCTCACCCCTGTAATCCCAGCACTTTGGGAGGCTAAGGCAGGTGGATCGCTTGAGGTCAGGAGTTCAAAACCAACCTCACCAACATGGTAAAACCCTGTCTCTACTAAAAATACAAAAACTGAGCCGGGTGTGGTGGCGCATGCCTGTAGTCTTAGCTACTCAGGAGGCTGAGGCAGGAGAATCACCCGGCAGGCAGAGGTTGCAGTGAGCCAAGATTGCACCACTTCACTCCAGCCTGGGTGACAGAGCGAGACTCTGTCTCAAAAAAAAAAAAAAAAAAAAAAGGAGAGAGAGAGAGAAAGAGAGGAGATTCCCAGACCCACTATCCTTTTAAATGGTAAATGGAAAATATTAAAACTATTAATTGATTTGACTCATTCGAGGCTTAATCTGTCATAAATGTATCTTCTTAATTTCTGTCCTTCAAAACCGCTTCAGAACTTTGTATAAAGTGAGAAAGTAATGACAAATATCTTAGATTTTTCTTATTGCATGGTGACAGAATAATCAATCAAAATCTGCAAAATGGAGACATTTTTCAATCTTTAAGGAATATGTGTTAAAAACTAAACAAACACAGAAGAACTATGTCCAACTCTTTAAAATGAACAACGAATTCTAATTACCTCTTTTTGAAACTCAGCCATGGCTTGCTGGAATTGTTTTGCCCTTTCCCCTGTGGTGCTCAAAAGCTCTGTGTTGTCATGGAGAGTTTCATTGATAATGCGATCAGACTGAAAATTGAAAAGTATTTTACATTATTCATGCCACAAGGTAGTATTTCAATTTTTCAAACTTTTTCAAAATTTTCAAACATCTGTCCACACACCTCAGATTTGAAAACAGCTCCTAGGATACCTGCCGCCACCTGCAGGAGCAGGATCAGAAGCAAGCCTATGAAAAACTGAAGAAGAGGAAAAGAAATACACATTATCCTCAGTGCATTCAGTAACATCTGGGGACATTTTGGCACAGCACTTCTCTCTACAGCCGGGATTATATCACAGTGAGAGTGTCAGTCACACTCTTCATTTATTCCACTTTTTACTTCAAGCTGAAAATTTTGGGTTCTTTACTACTCAGAAAACTTTGCTCCAGAGACTGATCGAGGAAAGTGGTTCAGGCAAAAAATTATCAAAACAACTATTGGTATCTGTATGATATTGACTAGAGGGAAGTCTGAAAACTGAGATGAATTTATTTGAATGTTATTTTACTCCTTCCCTTTCTTCATCAAACACAACCTCACACAAACTCAGAACTGGCTTTGAAACAGCATCTCCAACTACTATCAGAATCACCTGGCATCTTGTTACATATATAGATTCCTGAAATCGGCCTCAGATATGCTGAATTATAATTTAGAAGGATGCAGCCCAAAGACAGTTAGTTTTTTTAAAAACAAGCTCCTTGAGTAATTAAATTCTTCAATTGCAAACGAGGCCTTGCTTTTCAAAAAGCAATCAGTAGGAATGTTATTAGAGTCCCTTTAAAACTCTGTCTCTATCATCCCTCACAATAATCAAACAGTTTTAAACATTTTTTCTCAGGTACTGATATAATCCTTACTTTATTAGAGGAATAAGTTTAGATTAGATCTGATAAACTTTTATGTCATATTTGTATCTGCTAAACACTTGATTTTTTTCCGAATATTTTAACTATATCCATTTTCTACTGTATATGTTAAAAATGAATGTTTATGAATTATCCAAAACCAATTAATCCTCCTCAATGCTCTCTAAGAGACAATTCTGATTATCTCATTCATTTAAATTTTTTTTTTTTTTAGCATGGCATGTAAAACACCTATGATTTTACCACAACCCACACTTGGATTCATCTTCCACCATTTACTGGAAACAGTCTTGCCGGTCTCCTGCCATACCCAAGGCTTCTCAGTTCCCAAACACACCAGCTTTCCAGAAAGCTTTTCCTACCCTCACTCATACAAATACCTTATTCACTTCTGCCCTGGTTTGAAAGTCCCATCCCCTGTCTTGCCCTTTGTTTCTGGGGCCACTCCCACTGTAGCTATTTGCTTACTTATTAATCTTCCCTAGTAGGTTCTAAAGGTCTTATGTATTATTTAGCACAATATCTGACACACAGAGGTATGGCAGTAATGTTGAATGAGTGAATGAATGAATAGATGAATGATTAAAATTTGTTTCCTCTCAGAGTATCCTCCAGTTTCTAAGCCAAACTAAGCCAAATCTAAGCCAGATCAGCTTGCACACTCAAACCTTCTAAAGAGAAGTTGGAGGTAGAGTTTCATCAATCATGGCATTTTTTAACAGACAATAGGGATGGGAGAGAATTCTCTGGAGTCTGAAGGTTGGACACTGGGATTTGTTTAGAGAACTCACCAACAGAAGCATGCAGCGACTTTCTTTTATAGCACCGCAGCATCCCAGGAATCCCATAATCATGATGATGGCACCTACAGCAATCAATATGTCCGCAGCAACATGGGAGCTAGAGCTCACATTTGTAGAATTTAAAATCTGAAGTAAAAAAGAGATTAATGGCAGAAAATTTCTTTCCTTGAAGTTGATTTTGCTCATTCAGCAAATATCCATTGAGTGCCTACTATGTGTCAAGTCCTGTGCCAGCACCTTGAAATACATCAGTGATCTTAAAAGTACAAATCCTGGCCCTCATGGAACTCACATTCTATTGAAGTGCTATTTGCCCAAATAATGTTTCCAACCTTATATTTTTCTAAAATGATATATTGAAAGCTGGGTAGAAGAAATGTAATAGGTTTTTTTAAACCCTGTTTTAAAAAGCTTAGGACAGTTACTTTTACTCTTCTTGATGTAATCTTTGGTTCACATATTTTGTGTATTCTACATAATGTAGCATTATAAAGCATGTGTTCTTACAGTTTTTAATTCTTTAAAAAGTTCAAGTTCTTTAAATTACTGATAGACACAAAAATATGAATGAATTTCAGAGTCATTATGCTGAGCTAAAGAAGCCACATAAAAAATTAAATACTGTATGATTCCATTTCTATAAAGTTCAAGCATAAGCAAAACTATGGTTATAAAAATCAAAGCAGTGCTTGACTTTGAGCAAGGCAGAAGGGAAAACAAGAGTTAACTGAAAAGGGACATGAGGGAACTTCCATGGGTTAATAAAAATGCATTGTATCTTCATTAAAAAGAAATCCAGTTCCTGATATTTCATATCAATTTTATCTCTTTGTTCCCAGAAGCCATAGTCCATAAAGTCATCTAGAAACTCTTTATTTTGACTGTTAGTTAATGAGATATGAGAGGAAAAAAATCCTAGGGTTCTTTATAGTGGGTGGGCTACCCATCAGGCATAATTCAGTTCTCCCAACAACACACACATACTTGTCTTCACCACCCTCATAACACCTAGCCTCAGTCTACCTCTTGTCCTTGATATGTGGATTTATCCAGAAGTAAATCAAATGAAAAAGTAAAGCCTTGTGCGTGTGTTATGCATAAATCCTGTATGTAGCCCATTTGTCTTCTATAACCTCTATCTACTGGGCTCTCTCTAGATAGAGCACTAGTTCCTAGACTAACTCGAAACCTCTGCCTCCCAGAATGGGCTATATAGCATGGAGGTCAGCTCCTTTAATAGTCAATACAAAAATGACTGCTATGCTTTAATGATATTTTTGTTTCTCAAGGCTTTCTAATTCTACTTATTGCCTAGAGAAAACTTTTATTCAACAATCAATAGGAATGAATGTGCTAAAGTTATAAAAGCATTAAAACAAATATCTATATTTTGTCAGGGTCCTAATAAATATGGAACAGTCACCCAACCTACTGGGCTCCAGTTTCCCCATTTATAGAAAGGAATTGGGTCAACCTCTGTGATAGCTAGGCCTCCTTTGTCTCTTAAAAGTCTATGCCTACAGATAATGTTTCAATTTACATATTTTGAAAGCTTGGTTAAGTCCTAAAGATTTTTGTTTGTTTGTTTTTATTGTTTTCTTATTAATATTAGAGCTAAAAAATCAGTTTTGTTAATAAACAGGCATGACATTGGAATAAAAATAAATGTGACAAAAATAGAAGCGTTAGGAAACTAGCTCTATGGACTTACTGCTAAATATTGCTTCACTAGAATACTGTGGCCAGTACAGGCGAACCCTGTGAGAGGATGGAAGCCTCACTACCTGGGTTATCAGAACTTAGAAAAGATACCCCAGACATACAAATAATAGTTCAAATATCTACACGTGAGGCCAAGATAGCGTGACCAGCACTTGTGCAGCAGGTAGTGAAACACTTCTAGGAGGCTAACCTGGGCAGGGTGACCCACTGCCAGAGACTAGCCAGAAAGCAGTGTATTGACTGTCTAGTGGTCATTGTTCCCATTCCAGCCCAACAAGTGTTTATTCTTATTCAAGAATGAAGTGGAAATCTGAGTTCTGATGTTTGCACCAGGGGAGGCACAGCAGGGTTTGAAAAGCTGTCTTGAATGAACACTGTGTCCCTGTGTGTCTTAGGACAAGGGCAGACTTTCAAGACAGAGAAATTCAGCTGGGCCTGAAAGATGAGGACTCAGGAATCCTCTTTGGATCAGAAGGGACCTCCTGGGACAAGGATGGCTGCCCATGTGCTTTTCCTCATGGTGTTAAGTTTATCCTGGGGTAGAAAAAAGGGTCCCTATGAGACACTTCAGCAGAAAGATCTGTCATTTCCCTAACATCCTTCTTTTCTGTGTTTATGTTCATGTTTTTCCTTCTAAAACAGCTACCTCTGTTTTTTTCACTAATAAAAAATTCAGCTCTTTGCTTAGTCTTGATTCTTTGTCACTGGCTTGAGATAAATACAAACCAAGCCAATTTTATATAAGTCAAGCTGGTTAATGTTGTCCTGGCAGACACTGGCTTTTGTTCAGGGTGAGAGGCTGATGAAGTGTGAGTCAAAATGTAACTAAAGGTGCTAACTCTATTAATTCATTCTCATCCCCAGATGTAGAGTAGCACCCTCTCAAGGACAACAGTTCCCCTTTAATACATCCAATATGTACAATTTTTTAACAGACTAAACACCAAATTTGTTTACTAGAAGCACTGGGAAGGAAAGAAAATATCAACAGGAAGTAAAATAATAAAATAAAATAAATTGCAAGCTGCACACACATCTTGAAGGGCCAAAGCACCCTGTAAGTAGGTGACTGTTAATCTCTGTGCTTAATTGAGTCCCAAAGTCAGACTTCAGATTCTATAGGATGGAAATTCTGCACATCTTCAAATGCTCCTCTTGGGTTCAAACACCAGAGGTCCAGGCCATCAGGAAGTCACAATTCCAGTTATCAGTAGAAAACAATCAGTGAAATCCTGATGGACTAGGATGTTACTAAAAAGCTGCCACACCCATCTCCCACCATGGTGAGGCACAGAATGTGGAAGCCACTAATTGCCACTGTGATTCTCTGGGCTTTCTAAAGACAGAAAGCAATTTTTAAAAGGAAAAGAACAACAGGAGAGAGAGAGAGAAGAAACAAAACGAAACAAAACAAAACAAAAAAACAGAGATAGAGGGAGAAAGAAGTTTTCAGAAAAGCCACCCACTGTAGCAAAGAAAACAGAGCAGACGTTAATTCCCTTTTCATCTTTCTTTCCACTAGGCCGTGTTCAAAGACATTTAGCTGCACCATGATATAATATGTTTTAGTAGAAAATATATTGTCTTAATTGCTGGCTTAATAATCTCTCAGTAATTATCAACTTGGAATCAAAGTTCTTCTCAGAGAATAACTCTCTTTATATGGGCAAATACCTTAAAAAGGCTCTAGCAGTAGAAGAGGTGATCCTTTAGTGGCAAGAGCCCAGAAAACAAAGAACAAATAAATGGCTCTGAATGTGTTACAATAATAGTTTGCGGGGATGGAGCCCCAGAATAGAAGAGGGGAGAGAAAAGAATAAAAGCACGGGAGCCGGGAAATGGTGCCAGGGTGGCATTATGTTCTGTAACACTGACAGAACAATCCCTGCACAGTCGCCCCCTCCCTCTTCCCCCAACTCTTCCCACATTTGGGATACTGTGGCATGGAACAGATACCACACATATGGAGTCCAATAGCTGGAGCCAGAATTAACCAAACGAAATACGCTTCCTCCAGTCCTGTAGATCTGGGTAAGAGCTTTGGCACTGGGAACGGAATGATGTGTAGGGGAGGAAAATGGGTCATGTTAATCTTACACATATAGCAAAAATCTGGACATCCCCAGAGAATTACCGAGTTACACCGAGTTAGATCAGCCACTACTGGCAAGCGGTTACCTTTACTGCCAGTTGCCACAGGTAAATCACAACTACCCTTGTACCTTGTTGCCTTTAAAATACAGATTCAAATTATTCTTTTCCAAGAAAACTTCTCATCTTCTTTCCTTTTAGACCAACCACATTGGGATCAACTAAATTACTGTCAATACCTTCTATTATAAAAATTGTTCTTCTTGGTGAGAAGGAGAGGTGGCCTATATCCTCAATATAGGCCTTAAACAAATGGTGGCCTTAAACAAATAGTAAAGGAGGAAAATGTCCACTTTGGCGCCTTCCCACCTGCATCTCACTGAATGTTTTTGAAATTTTTGAATAACACCTCCTCCATTCTCTAGAAAGATTTTTCCACCACTAGCACAGTGCCAGCCACATAGTAATTTTGATGGATTGAATTAAATTATAAAATCATGTAACAGCATAAGTAATTACATGAAGTAGTTGAGAGAAACACTTTAGACATGTTTATTACTATTATTGTCATACTTTCATGATTATAAACGAAATAAACTACATTGGGGAAGGGGTGACTTGTTTTTGCATACTTACCCCTTGAGAGTCACTGCCTACTCGTACCCATATTGATAATGCTAGGATCAAGATACCACATAGCTGCAGAAAAAAACAAAACAAAAAAAAGAATATAATTAGGATCATATGAAACTCTGATTCCACACCCTCTCATCTATCCGGTGACAGTAGTTTATCATTGACTATACTATCACAACCTGGAAGACATACATGAGGCATATTCATGTACAGATCATTGTTGAAATGTTACATTGCAATTTGTAAGTTTGATGAGAATAATTCTATTTTTCATTCACTCATAGGTCTATGGACAAGAAGTTATTTCCATTAGGCCTGGAAAGATTATTTTTCCATGTAACTCTAGCCTTGTGTTTCTGTTAGATTGTAGCATACAAAAGAAAAGTCACAACAGTTTAAAGATAAAATATCTTTATCATGCCTCTGGGTTTGTTTGTGAGAAGCTATGTTGGACCAGGAAAAAAGGGAATGACTGAATAGTCACCATTCATTTAAGATTCGAGAGGAAGGGAGAAGTTGGGATAGACCGGAAAACGTAAAACATTTGACAAGATGTGCAGTTAAGCAACAAGGCTACACATTAATCAACAGTTTTTGAACCCAAATAAACTATCTTAAAAACAAGCTCTTTTAGGTGGTAAAGTTTACTCAGAGAGAAGGAACAATGAAAGACAGAACTTAAAGTCTTAAATTCCTTTAATGACTTTACCAGATTATTTAATTTGGACCAATGCCAACACAATAAAATGTAAAACACATTTTACTTTAGTGTAAGGAGAACTCTTGTCATTCAGGGTTTTTTAAAAAAAGTTATGCATTGTGGCTTCAAAAACAAAAATCAAAGATCTATTATTAGATAGAGATGTTAAGAGCTGGCCTGGTAACATACCAGATACAGCAGGCCTTGGAGGACTGAGTAGACAATTCTGACCTTGCTGTGCTCCGACAGACAAATGTCCTTGGAGCATCACTGCTTTCATGCATGGTTGAGACATATGCCTAGAACCTCCAGACGGCACTTTTAATGGCTTCTCATTGAGTTTGCAGGGAAAATAGAGTCAAGGGCTCTGTTAAGGACTAGGAAGCACAATGAGTAGTTGAGTAACCATAGACTCTGTGCTCCCTAAAAGACCTTGAAAATCATCTAGGTCTAAACCCCTCATTTTGAATGGAGAAATTGGAATCCTGGGTGCTAATTATCATATCATGAAAATGTGGAGCAATTCCTAACCAACCTGCCCTTACAAGATACTTCAACTCCTACAAAATAACGAATGCAATTAAAAACCAAACCTCTTTAACCACCAAATAACCTATGCTATTATCTCATACACACACATAAACACACACACACCATAAAATACAAATGATTCAAAAACACAGCTTTTGTGTTTGAAAATTTTCCTTACCTCTCTAACCCTGAGATTTACAGCATCCTTTCACTAAATTCTAATTTCATTTGCAAAAGAAGACAAATGCTCATTTTAGCAGTTCTTTGTTAAACAGTTTGTGAATGATAATTTATGTCAAATGATAATGAGACCCTCTGGGATTTTCAGTAATTTCATACCAACTGAATTTTTTGTTCGTTGTTTAGTTTGTTCACTGATTATCTTCTTTCTTTTTCTTCTCTTTTCACAGGCAGATTCATAATGATTGGCTTAACAGTCATTCTGGCCTTTAGCTGTAAGTAATGAACCTTATAGCTATTATGAGTAGCATTCTTTCCTGATATTTGTTAAACTATCAGTGAAAAAACTTTAAGAATTCTTAGTAAGAGCTTAGTAAGAACTCACTGTGATATTTTTTAAAACTTTAACTTTTTTGTTTGTGTATTACTATTTACTTTTTCAAGGTATTTAGACATCAAATCATTCACAAATCGTATTAAATCAATCATATCTGCCCCTCAGACAGCAACTTTTAGTCTTCTCAGCCACTGAAAGTTTTCTGTAACATTAACATTTAAAAGAAAGAGTACCCAACTGTTCCAGAAGTCAAAAGTATTTTGCCCAACTAATCTTCAGAATTAGACAATCTTTTTCAGGAACTATGAAGCTGGCCAATGTATCATTTCCATCCCTAACTCTACCTTTTCAAACTTCATTTTAAAAATGAAACAAATGTTTAGAGTATATCATTCTCATCTGAATGGAGAAATTCCCATGTAAATATCAGTCTAATATCATGAAATTATTCATAACTTTGTTTAATGACTTTAAAAGTAAATTTATTTTCTATCAAGAATGACCATCCTAGAGCCATGAATAATACTGAACTATTTCATCCCATTATTAAAAGACTGACCATTATAATGGTTCTTTGAGCCCTTTACCAAGTTTAGCTTTTAGGGTTTTTCTCCTAATGTTTCTATACTATTTTAAAGGATTAAAAGTATAAATTAATAAATAAATGCCTGCTCTCTACTTTCTGTTGATAACATTGTAAAAGTAAAATGGGTTAGTATCGTGATCCCAGGACCCTGCAGAACTGACTAGGCCTACCTTTCCCTGCTTCTGGTTTCTCTTTGAAGAGAATCACTGTGGTTTCCATTCAGCTTTCACGGAACAGCCATCATTTTATGGAATTTGGATGCAATAGGTCTGAACCAGCATCCTAAGAAATTAGGCAATTTTGATATTTGCTTACAATGGACTGAATTGTGTCTCCACAAAATTCATATGTTGAAGCCCTAACCTCCGGTGTGACTGTTTTTGATGATAGGCTTTTAGAAGATAATTAAGACTAAATGAGGTCATGAAGATGGGGTTCTAATCTGTAGCACTGGTGACCTTATAGGAGAGGTATCTTTCTCTCTCCACTCACACCCAGGGAAAGAACATGTGAGAAACATGAGATGGCCAACGAATGAGGGTCCTCACCAGAAACTCAATTGGCTGGCACCTTAATCTTAGCCTTCCTAGTTTCCAGAACTATAAGAAAATTAATTTCTGTGGTTTAAGCCACCCCGTCTACAGTATTTTGTTATGACAGCCCAAGCAGACGACTAAGAACAGACAGACGCTGAAGAACATAAAATATCAGGAAAAAAAAAAGGGAGAGAGGGGAGAAGATACCATCCAGAACAAAAATAAATGGTAGAATGTTGATTTGTCCTCTTCTCTAATAATGTGTCTCCAATCATCCCTACTCCTTCCCTCCAAATTCTACCCTTTTATTTGGGTGTTTATTGAAGTATGTTTGGAGAATGCTGAAAATGCTGTGTGAGGAGGAGGAGTGGATTTTGAACTACATCATAATTGGTCCCAAAATGGACACCTTTTAGATAAGCTTAAGAAACTCTTCCTGTGCTGCTCCTGAGAGGATAAAAAATAAGAAAATATGCAAGTGGATAATTACAAAATTTGTTTTTATGATAACCACAGAACACTAGAGGCGACTCCACGATGATAGGGAGCAAGGATTCCGAAAGCCCTGACATACTAGGACTGTACTGCTGCTGCTACTGTTATTGTTCATTTTCAAGTCTCTTCTTTTACTAAACATTTATTTTAAAGTCTTAGTTCAATTGCATTGTGGTAAGAGAGTGCAGACTGTAGGATTGTTACTTTTGAGTTTTTTTGCATTTCCTTCATCAATTTCTAAAGATTCAGAGATACTAGAAAAGACAACAAAGTCTCAAGAGGCTACAAAGTTTATTAGAAATTTATTAAATATACTTTATGCATTAAATCATTTAGATCCCCTGTATCCATGTTTTTTCTTGTCCTTCCTGAGTTATCAAAAACTGAGAGGCGGGTTGTGTTAAGCTGAATTAATGGAGTTTGCGTTTACTATTCTGTATCTCTAACAGTGTTTCCTCCATATAATCTAATAAATGCTATTTAGTGTAATCAGTCTTGGGCTTTAGCACAGAGTAAATGTTACTAAACTGCTATTTTCTATTACATCTCTTTCCAAATATCCTCCCAATTTACATTTGAGATAATAAAAAATATAACTATCAAGACACGTGACTTCTTTATTTCCAGACCTAAAATGGTTAGCCATTTAACCATGATTTTCCCACGCTTCAACTATCCATTTTTACTTATACCTTAATTATTTTGGATATGTTTCAGTAAATTTTACAGTGTGAATATCCAAAGATCTCTTTCTCTCTTATTCATTTGTGAAAGGCTCTGAATACTCAGCAGACATTGCTCCATTGTCTTCTGACTTTCAGGGTTAAACAGGAGAACAATATCACCAGCCTTATTTTTGCTTATGCATTATTTGCTTGTTTTCTTTTCTGTCAGTTGTATCTAGACATTTGTAAAATGTTTATTTATCTTTTAACTAAATTAGTAGTTTTCTTAATATTTATTTAGGCATAGATGTCTTCTTTCATTGGGGTAGAACAGGCACTTGCCATCTGCATACAGGTTATGTTTTCAGCTCCACAAAATTTCCATATATTAATTTGATTACTATTTGTGTTCCATTTATTTTGTCCTCTTTTTCAAGAGCACAGCTTATTTTGGGTTTCCATTCTCTGTTGTCTGTATCTATTATCTTCTTTCACAACATTTTGATTTCTTTTTTGATTTTCCTGTGGGAGAGCTTATCAGTTTGGGATTCTATGTCACCATCTTTATTTAACGTAATCTCTACAGTGAAGTTTAATTCTGCTATTATGTTTGTAGTTTACTTGCAGTCCTTACATATTTTATCCATTTCCATTTTTATCTCATCCTGTTGTCTTCCAATAAACTTTATCTTCTCTTACAGCCTCCATCCACTGTTTCATGAGGGGTTACTTTCTAGCATCACATTGTGGATACCAATTTCTACATACACTTTTTCAAGATTCTAGAGTATTTCTTTCAGGGATGTGTTCTTGTCCTCTTAAGTCTTCAGGGTTACATATCTTTCACTTATTCAACAGTATTTTCTATTAGGTCTTATGCTAAATTTCCTTGAACAAGATGAGACAAATTCTGATTTAGAGTTCATTCAGAGTAGAATGTGCTGAGGCAGGTGGATCACCTGAGGTCAGGAGTTCAAGACCAGCCTGGCCAACATGGCGAAACCCTGTCTCTACTAAAAATACAAAAAAAAAT